TACGTTCGAGCATAGCCACGATGTGGCCTGAACAGTAGCGTTCCGGTTGGACAAGACAAGTCATGTGACATAGCATTCAATCCCAGAACATAGCGCTTGGATATTAACCACAGTCAGAGGAATATCGCTGTCTCTCGTGGTAATTCGAGATATGTACCAACAAGGTCAAGGGTGCAAAATAACGCACAACCGACCAACCTGCTCTGCGGCAGAACATTCCTGTAAATCAACATCTACCCACAATTTGCAGCTGCATTTGTATTATTTTAGCATTCATAATCAGCCAGAGACCGTTACACTTTCCTACACAGAAATACGCCAACAACGAGAAGATCTACTCTTTCTTCCTCCGTCAATTTGTTTCACATTTCCCGCAGAGGCAATTGTCTCACATCAATTGCTAAGTATCATTTAACTTGTGACGCAGTATTTTGTTCCGAATGGAGTTAGTTTCATTGCAGACTATTCTTTCTGGGTATGTTGTCACCACGTCATCCTGTGCCAGCAACAACAGATCGAAAATAAATAAAATCATCTAGATTAGCTGCCCCACCCTTCGTACTCGGTGCACTCGAGTATTCCCAATCACGGACTCACCCATGACAGATGATGCGCTTAGCTATTTCTCCTGTACTGATCGTACCAATTTGGTGATTTTACCGTCTTGCAATACTTTGCACATATTCTCTTTGGATCATTTTTTATAAAAGCACCTATCAGATAGAGAGAGGAGGAGATTTACAAATCCAAAGACTATCCGGTCAATCCATTCAATAGTATCTTTTTGTCTTTATTTACACGTGGATGTAACCGATCCGCACGGTGGATGCGACGCACGCTAGTTCTCACTCAGCATTACCGCTACGTCCTAATAAGGAGAAATAACTCATTTCAGCTTCATAGCCTGGTCCTTGAACGGATAACATACTGTTACTGCTCAACTCGACACAGGAGCACAACCTTATAGCTGCTATTATTCACCCGCCTGGTATACACTCTTGAAACCATGATATTCGGTTTCCCTTCTCGTCTCAGCAGATATATACTATGATAACCGCAACATACAGTAGACTTGTCAATCTCATTCAAAACTCGTGAATCGCTGCTGATGCTGCCACCTTCCGCGCTCTGTTCGAAACACCAAGCAATATAATTGCTATCGATTTCGAGCAATTCCATATCCTGCACAGAAGCCATCACTGTTTCTTGTCGACATCAAAGGGCTTCTTTGCTTGCTTTCGGGTAGTGGTGGGTTCATGACTCCCCAAAGCACCGCCAGCAGAGAAGTGCGGATCACTCTAGTTTTAAACTTCAAGTCTAAATGTGGCGTGGCATTCGAACATATAACATTTTAAATTGAGGTCCGACGCAACATTTTGCACAAGTCAGAATCCACAAGTTTCACTTGAAGGTTCAACACTACTTTTGTCACCCATATCGGTGTCCGGTCACAACTCACACGAAATATATATCCATTTTTGATATTATAAATTATTCCACGTTTTGTCAACTACTTTCAACGCCCACTCACCGTAATTTATTACGTGGCGCCCCTCAATCCTTCCACGGCATAACACACGTTAAAAACATTGATATTAATAGCCAGTAAACCCGAAGTGTTAATCCATCTCTTTTAGAGCGAGCCGCATCTTTTTATCATGGGTCTCTGAACCAAGACCGCTACTTAATACAATAGAAAACAGCTCATTTCCCGGAAGGCAGAAAATCATGCCTACTGGAACTCAACCTACTTCGTGAAGGATAGATATGATGGGAAACGACACCCCTTTTTAGGAGTCGTGTAAGCCATGTCGAGCACGTGCTGTAGGGATTTATTTATTACACTCTAACCCCTCTCTACCCGGCCCGGGGATTGAACCCTGGACCTCCAGGTTTTGAAGTGAGCGGCGTACCACTGCACCACAGGATTGGTCTTCGTGAAGGATAGATCGGACGACCTTGGATGTGCTCGCGCCCCTTCGTACAACTAAGATGAGTACGAAGGGATCACGCAGTCGCAGATATGTAGTATTATCACATATTGAACATCTGCCGATTCTGAAAGCCTATCAGTATTTGAGAGGTCCATCTCAACCTTCTTAGCATGAGTGAGGTCCATCGCTTTTTATAGCACTCATAGCATTTACGTTTCTGGTACTTCATTCGGCCCCCGCGGCACAAAATTAGCATATTGCTACCCACACCTTTTCTTCGAAAGAGGTAGGTCTAGATTTTAGCCGCACCCAGTTTTTTCAAAGATAATAACTGTAATCTCCCGCGGGGGAGATTTTGACGCCATTGTGTTGACAAGCTAGTTCGTTGCCTTTTTTGCCGTGTGGACAATGTCTTCGAAGGCACCCGGTACGCCTACAAATATGATGCAAACAATCGCGAAAATGTCGCTTCAAATTCTCTCTTCTATTAAAGGACTATGCATATTCTCGCGCGAGGTGTCCTGGCTTGGGAACCACAAGTCCGATACGCTGTTCCTTCGCGTGGGCTTGTTTGGAGAGGCAAACTGATCGTCTCTGATCCTTAAAAAAAATCTTTTGCCTACAAAAAGCTGGACACTCGATTTAACGGGGTTTCACGAGATGGTGTGACATGGATTACCTAATATGGTGTGACCACAAAATGATGTGACTAAACTTATACAACAAGTCAGTACGTGGCTGGAACAGTAATAATACATTTAATTAGTTTTGCTATACAGATGGGAAGACCTATAGATTTAGATACAGGCGGCTTTGCCGCAAATAAACCGAGAAATATAGGGTACATTTTAAACGAAAGAGCTAATTAGTCTGGATTAAGGTTGTACTTACTCTTGGATTAAGCAGATTTCGATTTGCTACACAAGTACTGGCTCAAAATATAGAACGAAGGTCGACGACCGCTTCCTCTAAGCGAAAGAGCTACGGCAGCCCGCTGCATCCTGGATATTGCATATAAAATTGCCCGTAATATTTTTAGGCCTATAAAGTTCATCGCTAACTTTGAACAGCTGTTAATTCAGAGCTCAGGACACTCCCAATCTATTTAAAGATCTCAGCCTTTAATACAGATATGGAAGTAGCCACAAGATAAAATGAGATATGGTGTGCGTATCGTTTCGCGTGACCTGTTCGTGTAGCTAATCTTTTTTGTGGAAAAAAGATATCTAACAAAAATAATACGTAGAAAAGATCTGTTGACAAAACTGAAAAGACATACCGGGCTCACGAGATAGATAAAATACTTTATAATGCTGCAAATTGGTGCATCGATGGATACTGTGTCTCAACTGCCGCATCGATAAACACTTTTCAACGCGTCGATTTCGATTGTGGCATTCTGTGATATTTTTTGATCAACATTCTACAGACGAAGCTGCTTACTCTACAAATGTTAACAAAGGCAGACACAGCGCCGCTGCTAGAATACTTTGGGCGATCACTGCCTCAGCATCTCCTGCCACACTTAATACAATACAATAGAAACAAGGGTCCAACTAATCTTGAAAATCAAGAACGTTATGCTAAAAAAGCAACATTGCCCATGAATTTCGATGCAAAGGTGTGGTGACAATTGACTGGGCCGTTAAAGCGCGTAGAAATACAATGACTACCGTACTAGGCCTATAATAAAGGTTTATTTATGACCAAAGAGACAATCATATCCTGTCGTTCGGCATAAAGCAAGCAGGTAAGTGGCTTGGTGCACATCATGTTAAGAAAACATACAATACCGTATACAGTAATTGGTACTCATTATCGCTCTACTTAAAGGATTAATGTGAAGGAGTTCATTGATTAAACGAGAAGGGGTAATTTACTCAAATATCTTCACAAACGTTATCAGAACTCAGCGTTTGTTGGCACGGCATTTCTATACCGAGCTGAAATTGGAGTCCGGACTAGGTCCATGAAGATTATTGTGAGCAAAGTAACAGAATCCTCTTGTGAAAGAAAGCATTTTTTATATTTGCCATCATTAAAGGTGAGCAAATCGCAGCACAAGAAATAAATTATCTGATTAAAAGGGTCTGTAAAGCTTACCAGCAATAATTTGGTCTCCCTTCCTAGCGCGAATTCCATGAACTGGATTGATTCATTTGCACAACATCCTTAAAAAAAAATGTTGTTTCCGTCATTGTCAAGTTTTCCTTGGCACCGATTAGATGTATCGAGTAAATATTGAGGGGTTTTATTGTGTAAGTTTATTATTACGTCTACTTTGCAGTATTTTTCGTTAGAGTTGCTGACGCATGATGTAGTTATCCATGCAAGGCTGACGTGGCTTGTCACCCTCAACCTTTATTACCTCGAACCGTTTGTTAACGGATGTCAGACTGCGTCGATTTGGTAGCTCAGCAAGTTGAGTTTTGATTTGTCTCACAACGTCGATTCCATTCCAGCTGCGCCTCAATGGTCTGGCCTTTTTAAGGAAGTCACCTTCATGATCTGCCAGATTATATATATTTTAGTTTAGTACTTGTGTTACTTTTGCCAGGACAAATGTTTATCCATCGACCAAAGTTAAATATAGTCCTGAACACACACCGTGGTTCAAGGCTTTTAAAGGCTTCAATGGTGTAAGCAGTGCAGACACTTTTGCCTGGGGTTGATAACTTGAAATGGTCTGTTTTGCCCATGCCCTAGATCCGCTAAAACGTATTTTCTAATAGGAATTTCATTTCGCCTTTCGAAATTGGCTGTGGTAAGAAAATATTTGTGGTCGAACAAATTTTAAAGCACTTAGCTGTGTTGTCAGCAGTATGGATCAATTCAAGCGCCGCTCGTTGTTAGCTTATGGGGCTAGAAGTGTGAACGCAATGCAAAATAGGTGTGTAGCTAAGCCAGGGAAAAAATAATTGTTGGTTTTGACAAACTTATAATTAGCATTCTCATGAAATGTTGGATGGGTCAACCTCTATTTTAGAAATAGATTTTTTTCTTGATGTGGACACGCGCTCGAATATCACTTAGCGGAACTCAGCTTCGCGTTTTGATTATTTTGATATGGGTAAGTATCAAACGCAAGAGACTTCGGTCGAGCAAGAATTCGCCAAGCTGGCAGTCCAGCTGGTTCAAACGGCTGATGACACCATTCGATGCCTTAAGAGCTTATATCGAAATCTTGCCAAGTTTGACAGCTGTCATGGTCTACGTTTTCGTCGTAAATCCAAAAAATTTATGCGGAGCGACATTCGAGTCGTAAAAGATTTGACTATTGACTTGCGGTATGTAGCTAAACGTATACGCAGAAACAAATCACCCACAAGGTCGGAGATTAATGCCGCTCGGATCAGTATGAATGCCATCGCTGGTGCTTTGAACGACTTAAAACAGGCGGGGCGCGTGTTTGACCAAAATAACAGTTTGTCAGGGGATACTTCGGGAAGAAGTGTTGACAATTTAGCTGATAGTGACGATGAAAAAAGTGTAGAGGACAATGAAAAACTCTTTGGTTGTAGGGCGAATGAAAAGTTGAAGGTTAAAAGTAAGAGCGACGGCTATTCTTTAGAGTCAACCGACATGGTCGAGTCAGTGGTGCGATTGACTTTGCACGATAGCTTTAACGGTTTTCATGCTCTGAAGCAGCAAATTAGAGCGACAGAATCCGCCATATCACCGTCAATTGCAACTCGCGCTAAAAATGCCGTGGTTGACGCGGTTAGCAGAGTGATTGGCACTCCTTGCGATGACAACCAAAATGAGCACACATAAGGTTTCGACGCGCACAGCTCGTTTCATGAAACAAATGATTTGATTAGATATGAGCCTTGAGGTTGCAGATGGTCTTTCCACGTTTCACGCTTGGAGTGTCTTAACAACATTTATCAATAAAAAAAAAATTGACGACACATGGTATGAGGTTGCTTGTGTGTTTTTCTTGTCTTTAAATCGGCAATTTCAGCGAAACATCTACAAAAGTCTTTTCCTGAAGACCTCTCGATTTGAAATGCTTTCGCTATGCGCACCAAACTACTGTTTAAGCGAAAGTTCGTGACTGTAATGTTTGAGCTTGCTCTAACAGGTTCGGATACACAGTGTCGCACACGAAATTTGGAAGATGTTTCTTACTTGATTCAAAACTACTATCCTTTTATCTCAAATGTGACATCATGTGATATTTTAATTGAATCATATAGTTGCCAGTATGCAGGGCTTAAGCGTGTTCTGGCAGTAGACTTTCACCCTTCTACATATGACGGTTCACCTTATGCCAACACATCATGCGGGGGTAATATTCGTCTAAAAACTCATGATGAATGTTTTCCTATTACGCATCTAATCCCTGACCTGAGCACATTTTACATATAACACTTTTTGCACAAATTTATTCGAATTGTGGTTGTATTTTAGGTAGATAAAAATATCTTCATTTAATCTGTTCTCATCCTCGCACTGCCATTAACCGAGCGACAGTATGGTTAAACCTGCACGTCTTTTGGTCTTGCTCAAGCTTCTTGGAGATAAATAACTCGTAGATATAAGATCACCTTTCCACAAGCTAAAAATTAAATAAACCATACGACCATTTATTTGATTTGACTATTGTACAAAGACAGCTGAACCAAATACTTTTGAGGATATATAGCGACACCAAGTAGGCTTCAAGCCATTGCAGACGTTGAAGTAGTGGTTAGAAGGCTATCACTAGAAAGGCATCAGTTGTCTTAACTTGATTTGACCAAGATTCTCATCAGGTCAGGAAGACCTGATATTGAACTAGTGACCAATGGGTCATCATCAAATTATCAAAGTGTTGTGGGGCCGCATATATTTATTTTTTATCAATATTCTTCGCTAGCGAGAAGTAGCGGGTTATCATACTGATCGGGTTTGAAGTCGTAGTGTATCAAGCACACCTACGAGTGAATGAACCATAGTTAGTCTTCGTGTCAATTGTAAAGTAGGCTGCAGATATATTCTACCACTTCAGGCTCGCCGTCTGCTGCACCTGTAATTCCATATTCCGCCAAGGTCATCATGTCATCCCTTAATTCATTGGCTTCAGAATAGTGCTCTTTGCAAATTTTAAGATCCAAAATGGGGCCATGCTGCTTTTGAATTCGTTGCTATGACAACATCAAGTTCTACAAAAGTGTATCAATCGTGTCTTTAGCATTGAAGCTCACCTTGATGGCGAATAATCGCGTGGTTGTCTTCGTCCGAAATTTAAAGTTGAGATAGTTCCAATTGAGTAGCTAAATAGCATATGAGTCTACACTGTATACAATCTGCAGGAAAAAGAAAAAACTTATACCCGCATATCAAGGGTCACGTAGTACACTGGATCGGACTCGTTGATAATGGGTGGCGCGACGTCAATTATCTGCTCGAGAAACATACAACTAGCTAAGCAATGCATAAATGTTGTCCATGTAATTTCACTGTCCACCTTGACCCGTGTTGTTGAAGCATCATCTTCCCCAGAGTCGGTCTTTAACTTCTTACTTTTGACAGTTGAAGGAGGCATTGCTTTCTATGTGACCACTAGTCCCGGAAGCCAAACAAAAATAGCCTACTTCATCATATAATCGTATTAAGGCGACGTCAATATTTATCACCAGTCAAGCTTGCTTACGGGGTGTAGAGCCTTCTCTTTGGGAAATCGAGGTCTTTATTTATAGTTGAAATCAATGTGGAAAATTGAATATTAATCTCGAAATCTTCTGGATGAAGAAGACACCTTGCAAACTTAAGTGAACGGCTCAATTGCTTTTACTACATTGTTTCGTCAAGATGTCAGTATAAAACACTTCTCTGCTCCCACTCATTATCACACATTCACTTCGTATTGCAAGCTAATACAAAACTTTCACTTGTAATGAACCAAGCTCTTGTCACTAAGTTGCATTCGTTGCTCTCACGATCCGTCGTTTTGACATCATAGAGGTCTCAATATGCCATTTCTTGTGCGACTTATTGGGCGACGCGACTGTAAATGATACCACACATGAAATGATCTGAGTGGTGAGTTGAGTGTTCACGTGAATGCATTAGTGCTGCTGAAGTTTTCGTTATTTTTCACTTTTTTGCCAAATATGTATTTTTGATTTACTTCACAAAAAAACACCTGACCTACTTTTGAAAGGTGATTTTGTTAATATTAAAGGTGGTCAAAAATGAACCGAAATTGTGATTATTTTGTTAGGTTTTTAGGGCACCTTATCAAAATTGTTGACGGGGTTAAAAACGATGAAACTATTCTTTAATTGGTCAATAGCAACCTTGTTATTCAAGGTCCACACGTTTCTGATATTCTAACAGTGACTTGAACACTCCGTTTTCCTCGTGCTTAGCCAAATATA